TGGTTGCTGTGGCCTATAGACACCTACATCCATCCTCTATGACGAATCAAAATGCAGTTGTCACCCGAAATGACTAAGATGGAATGCCTCTTTTCCAGTAAAACGGGTCTGCGATTCTCTACACTCATCATACGAAACACAGCAGCATTAAGCTGCTATTTGATGCTGGTATTCTGTGAGGGCATGGTCCTTTTCCGGTCGTGCCGACCCATTCGTGCTACAACTATACTACTAATATAGCTGCAACATGCGTATAGTTAATACTTGTTTCTTGAAACCATGCTTTATAGTAGTTTATAAGTGTGTCTAATCTGCACTTGTTTTTGAATAAACACAACGAGGAGCTTAAATTCATTAGATCATATTCAAAACTCTTGAATGCGTAAGGTTTCAAGACTTACACAGTTAACAGCTAAATAATGTCTATGTATTTTTGTTCCAATAAAAAAATCTATTCAGAGAAAGACAATTTATTTTATTTTCGCCAAGTTCGAATAAAGATCTGAGAGCATATCAGTTTTTCCGTATTTCCTGGCGCTATTCTCCTCCGATTTATTATGCAGGTAATTCGTAGCCTGATTTGCGCTGAGATTGCGATTATATATCACGCGTATTAGGGTACACTCTGTGGCCCATTTGAAGCGAACATGTCCAAAGAATAATATTCAAAGTGGTCCAGAGGTTATTATTCATTTAGTACGATAAGCTTAACAAATATTTGATTTTTATAGTTTTTTTTTAAATAAAGCAAGGCTCATATTCGTCATAGTATCACCATCACCATTATTATCATTACAGTCTATCAAAAGTTTACTGCTAAACATGGGCCTCTTGGCATTATTGGCTGGTTGGCAAATGTACGTTACCCATGACATGGTATTGGGTAATAGATTATTGTGTTCTTTATAATTGATATTTTGACTCAGTGGTTATAGTACAGAACTGCCCTAATTTCTGCATATTCTGTTTTCCCTTATAATATATAGGCCTTTAATCGGCCTGGCTACGAATCTATGGATTTACGCATTGTTTCCATGGGAAATTTCGCCACTGCTTGCTCCAGAGATTTTTTAAGAGACTCAATGTCGCCGTGTCGTTTAGAGTAAGCCACGTCCTCTAAAACTGACCATAATTTGTAGTCTAAAGGGTTGAGGTCTGGGCTAGATGAGGGCCAGTCTTCAGCTCTTATGAAGTCCGGAACGTTGGTTTTAAGCCAGACTTGGGTAGTTCATGCTTTGTGACTAGGTGCAGAGACCTGCTGGAAAGTCCACGGAACATTTTTAAAAAGTGTATTGCTAAGAGGTTTCACAACACGATTCAAGACTGTCTCTTGATACATTTGGCTGAAGTTTTATATAGATTATATTTCGAATATGTATAATTTAGATCATAGAAATATTTCAAGTATATTTCGATTTTTATCAGTGTGTACCCTTCTGTTATTTTGTACATAATTTTTCTTTGACGAGGCGGGATACGCGACAGTATAGTACACTACTCCACGCTTTTATGGTAATTGTTTGGAACAGCGCCGGTGTAACCCGCAAATGTTTTGGATTTCTTGATACAAATGAACCCTCTTAGTAATATTAACAGAAAAGTTTTTCATTTACTTATTTGAGAATAGTGTAAAGATGTGTGTGATGTGTGATAGGTATTAATAATAAACAAAATTTCATGTACTTTTTAGTAAGGTTAAAAAAATTGGGCAAGTGCTTTTTAGGACATGTGAGAGAGAGTTCCGTTGCGTAAATTATGTATAATATTTCCCTAAGCTTATATCCTAAATGTCTTACTTATCAATCTTCTGCTCTAGATATCTTATTTTAAATACCTTTTATTTTTATCATCAGTCCGCAGAACTCCAGTGCTGGATATGGGCCGCTCCAGTAGTGAGGGGAATTACCTTTTTTATAAGATACGGTGACAAACGAGCACACAGTCCACCTGATGGTAAGTGGTTGCTGTGGCCCGTAGTCATCTACATCCATCCCCGATTACGAATCAAAGTGCAGATGCGTGGTCACCCGTGAGGACTAATGGAATGCATCGTTTCCAGTAAAAAGGGTCGCCGGTACTGTACACTCACCATATGAAACACAGCACTAAAGATGTGACTCATTCGGCATCTTTCACTCGAAATGAATCGTCTGAACCCCAAATGAAACAAGAGTGCCGAATGAATTCATTAATGAACCGATCCGACGATGTTAGATTTTATCATTCGGCATCTTTCACTCCAACTGCGAATGAACAAAAAATGAACGGTCTGCACACAGAAAGAACGTTCACTCGGATTCGGCCATTTTGTCTCGAGCTCGGTAGCAGACGCAGGTCGGAAAATTGGCAGCAAAATGTGTTCAAGTGGAATGAGCAAAGTACGCTGCTGTTTTTGGAACATTTTAAGAATTATCAATGTTTATGGAACCACAAACTTGACGAATACAAGAATAGAACCTTACTTACAAACTTTATAAAATCCCTAATTAGTGATTTAAACCTCAAGGTTACTGAAGACGACATCAAACATAAAATAAAAACTATACGGACCCGATTTATTTATTTATTTTACACTTTATTGTACTAAAGGTACAAACGGCGGACTTAATGCCATATGGCATTTTCTACCAGCCAACCGGAAAGTTAGTGGGCGTTGCGTGTACTGCAGTGGGCTAGAATGAAACCTAAAATTGATAAATTTCACATACACATACACCTTCACCCCCCTCCACACACACACCACACACATACATACTCATAGCTCAAACTTACTTAAATATATATAAGGATCTAATAGATTAAATGTTATAGATTATTTATATATTTTTGTGTCAGATGAACCCAAATAATGTTCCTTTACCTTTGTTTTAAAAATCCATTTGTTGGGGGATTTTTTTATTGCTAGGGGAAGCGCATTCTAGAGTCTTACAGCTGTAACAGCGAAAGAGTTTGAGAGGAAACCAGTAACGGTGAGAGGGAGTATAGAGCACGAGATTGTTACGAGAGCGAAGAATGCAATCATGGGAAGAACCCAGGTATTGAAACTTACATTTCAAATACTCTGGGGCCAATGGATCGTTAAGAATAGTGAACAGAGTGCTAAGAATTCTAAGGCTCCTGCGTTGTGGGATATTTAACCATTTAAGTTGAGAGCGATAGAAAGAGATGTGGTCATACTTTCGAAGACCGTAAATGAAACGGATACAGTTGTTGAGAAGCCGATCCAATTTATTGACCAAGTATTTGTCTGCATCTAAGTAACACACATCAGCATAATCAAACATAGGAAGAATTAGCGATTGAATTAGAATTTTTTTCGTACAAGGCGGTAAGATATTTTTATATCTGTACAATTGTCTCAAAGTAGTACAAACTTTACGGCTAACTTCCTCAATATGACTGCGCCAAGTAAGTGAACAATCCAAGGTTAATCCCAAGTCCCTAACACGAGAGCTGTAAGGAATTACCTCGCCATTATAGATCAGAGGATCGAACGATGTATGATTAAGTTTACCAAATTGACGTGCACTGCCTAAGACTATAGCTTGGCATTTACTTGGATTAACAGCGACCCCATACCTGCTTGACAGAATCCATTTAAGATCGGAGTTAATCACGGTTACAGCATTATTTATAGAAGTAGCATCGGCATGAGCATACAGTTGCAAGTTGTCGGCATACATATGATAGGAAGCACGAAAGTTACAGGTAATCATGTTAATAAATATAGAGAAAAGTAAAGGAGAGAGAATTCCACCTTGCGGAACACCAGTGGTTAATTCACCCCAATCGGACACCATACCATCGACCCGAATCGCCTGCTGGCGACCACGAAGATAAGAGGAGACCCAATTCAGTGCTGACAAGGAAAAACCTATGTAAGACAAGATGGCGATGAGAATATCATGGTCAACAGTATTAAAGGCGTTAGAAAAATCTATTAAAACTAACACCGTCAACTTTCCAAACTCCATGCCAACACGCACATCCTCAGTTATTTTTAAAAGCGCCGTTGTGGTGCTATGTCTAGGTCGAAATCCTGATTGGTGTTGATTCAGTAAGTTGCTTTTGGTTAAGTGAGTTTGTATCTGTTTGAGATACCAACTCACTTAACCAAAAGATTGAGATTTACAACTGAACTGACAAAAATAAGCAGCAGCAGTTATGTTAGGTATTTAATTTAAATTTACATATTCATCATATCATGTTCCATTGCCATGGCACAGTGCATGTAGTGACAAACTTTTCTGCATATGCATCACGCGCGCGACCGTCGTTTTCACTATGATGCCTTGCAGCAGTTGGTGGAGAATCGCTAATTGCTAAAGATGATACTTGTCGTCATTCCCCTGGTATAGTGCTAACTGTGTTCAAATCTTCAGTTTCCAGTGACTGTTGTGTAACATAATGCTTTGTCGTTTTTCTCAATCAATTATGTAGTGCACATGTGGTTTTAACAAGTTGCTCAACTTTTTCCACTGATAGTGGAATCGGTTTTTTAAAGATCCTGAATTTAGGTACCAATATTCCGAAAGTATTTTCTACCACACGTCGAGCTCTGGAGAGCCGATAGTTGAATATTTTTTCTTTGACGCCAAACACTCCTCTAGTGTTAAATGGTTTCAAAATATATGTTCGTAAAGGAAATGCGTCATCTGCCACGATTCCGCCTTCATCTGGAAAATTCAGAAGATTTGACATCAATGCTTCATTTAATGTTGATTTTTGAAAAACTGATGCATCGTTTGCTCTTCCGTTTGTTCCAACATCTATAAAGATGAAATTTTAATTCGCATCCACAAGTGCAAATAGATGAAAACTGAAATTCTTTTTGTAGTCGAAATAGTCTGAGCCAGAGTTTACTGGGCATCTTATATTGACTAATTTTCCATCCATGGCACCGCAACGGTTTGGAAAGTTCCATAGTTTATAGTAGTCTTCCATTATTTTAATCCATTCATCTTGAACTTCAGGAACCTGTAACAATAAATATATTTTAGTTGCAGGATACGTCAGTAAACACGCAGACTCAAAATGAAGACACCACTGAATTTGAGCCGAAGAGTTCTCAAGCTGGTAGTGAGAAGCAGTCGACGTCTAGTGCTGAAAATAGTAGAAATGGTAGTACAATATCGTCTGTATCGTTGCATTCTCAAACACCATTCAACCGCAAACGAAAGACAGACATGCCAATTGATATGGCAATTAAAGAACTAAAAGCTATAAGCAAGGAAAACAAAGAGCAAGTTAAAGACGAGTTTGATTTATTTTGTAAAAGTTTGGCAATACAGCTATAGAAAATGCCCCTGAACAGGGCATTAATATGTCAGGAAAGTCTTCAAATGGTGATGACCCAGGAACGTCTTTCACAAATGACGTCTTTATCTGAATCGATTTACTCGAGCTTAAGTACCTATTCCTCGCCAACCCACCAAGTACACTCATCGGTCCCTGTACCTATATCTTCTCCACAAAATGATCAGTACTATCCCTCCATAAACCAACAAGAAGTATACTCACCAACGGTCTCTGTACATATATCCTCTGTCCCTCCACAAATTGATCTGTACTATCCCTCAGAAATCCAACAAGAAGTACATTCACAAATTGTTCTTCCACCATCCACTCAAGAAAACATACTCATACAAGCTCTTAAAGAAATCGTGTGAATGTTAATTTTCAAACATTTGCATTTAATTAAATTGTTTCAAAAATATTACCTACTTGTTTTTTAATCAATTTAAAATGTTACTGACCTTTATAAAGTTGGTGATGTGAGTGTAGATGGTGAGAACTCGGGAACTGTTATCGTTAATCCAACTGCCAAATGTGACGATTAAGGTTTTATATGTGGTAGAGCCATGCTGCAGTTATATTAATAGTATAGTTGTAGCACGAATGGGTCGGCTCGACCGGGGAAGGACCACACTCTCACAGAATACCAGCGTAAAATAGCAGCTTAATGCTGTTGTGGTTCGTATGGTGAGTGTGGAGATTCGGAGATTTTTTTTACTGGAAACGAGACATTCCATCTTTGTCCTCATGGGTGACAACGCATTTTTTTAAATTTAAGATTGGGTAATAACCGAGCACACAGTCCACCTGATGGTAAGTAGTTGCTGTGGCCCTATATCCGATTACGAATCAAAATTCTGATAAATTTGAATTTTTTGTGAATTTGAACTTTGATTCTTAATTGAGTATAAATTTGGATGTCTATGGGCCACAGTATTCACTTACCATCAGATGGACCGTGTGCTCTTTCATCACACTAATTCTTTAAAACAAAGGTTTCTACCCACTCCCTGGTTTGTTTCCATCTGTAGCCTCTTACGACACTCACGAGACGACATGTGGTGGTGGATATCCTTACATTGCCACTGCTTTACGTGTATAAAATGCAAAAAAAAAATTACACAATATTAGTAATACTTTTGAAGATAAGTTGAGTGTTGGCAGCAATTACTCGGATAAATATTAAATAAAACTAAAAATAACATTAGTCCTTCTTACGTTCTACAGCTCGACAAATAGCTTTATATGTCCAGGCGGCTGCTTAGCACTCAAATACTTCCAGCTCTGCTTCCAATCGGCCGACTTCGTATTAGGTCCTCGAACCATTTTTTCCTCGAGATGTTTTCCTTCATCATCGAGCACGTGATAAATTACTATGTTATAATATAGTTGACAATTTCAGTGTTGGTAATGAAGGCCAAGCTTTAGTAGTGCCTTTTACAAATTTCCGTTTAATTTAACTCGGTTAAATCTATCAAGAGCCTTCTATAAAAATTTACAAAGTATACTATAATAAAAACGTAAGTAACAACTGGCCTAGTCGAAAATTTAAAATTCATTATTAAGCGGACCACAATGTCATTTACTGGGTCCAATTTTGTGACTTTCTTTTTTGACACTAAACTTACATCGTACAACAACAACTTACATCGAGTCATTATGTTTCGCTAATATAGAATTTGTTAATAATTGACTAGAGCGCCACCTATTAGATCCTAGCAAAGCTATTTACTATCGCATTGACTCAAAAATAAATTATGTGAATATGTCTAGTTGATCAAAAGTTACACGAACAATCATCATCATCATTTCAGCCCTACACAAGTCCACTTCTGAACATAATCTCTCCCGAGGAACTTCTTGCATCTTCTACCAGGTCGTCACTCCATCTAGTGGGGGGCCGCCCTACACTTCACTTACCAGTGCGAGCCTGCCACGCGAGAATATCTTTTCCGATCTGTTGTCGGTTCTTCGAGATATATGGCCGACCCGTTGCCACCTCTGCTTGCAACTCCGTTGGACTACTAAGTTGGTTATTCTGGGTTTACTGCGGATATCCTCATTTGTAAATCTATCACGCAGAGGATTTCCAAACTCGCTGTGCGACCTCGATCTTAATAACAGTGTATAATCTAATACAACTAACGATTATATATTTATATAAAGAAAATATTATCTCATTTTTTATTATACATACTAAGTTTACGGCACGGTTTGCGGAGGCGACGCAACCGCATAGAATAAATCAATAATATTGCTTATATATAAAATGACTTGCTTTGATTTTTATTGCGCTGACCGGAGGTTATTGTCTCTGGACGAGATTGCCTGCGGAAGTGAACACAAATATGATTTCCTGAATGTTATCATGGAGGCTATTTTATAAATTATGTAACTTAAGGAAACAACTTTTATGCTGTAGTTAATAATAAAATTTACAATAGTACTAATTTCAAAGCTCTTTCGCTCGTACTCGCTGTTTGGATGGCCGTCTCTGCATATTACGAATATTTTTTTAATATTACCATTAATACTACTCTATGAAGCTTTATCGCTCATGTCATTTATAAGAAATCTTTTTAATTCGATTGGCTTCATTCTGATCTACGATACTGATTGCCTGATATTATTGCGAGACAACAATAATCTAGCCGCTTTAGCTTAATGGATTAAGATAATTTAATATTAATTAGTAGATAATATAGAGATCTTTGAGCACAGAGGTAGATAAATATCTGATGAGTAACAAGTGTAAGTACAATCACTTTAGAGGGCCGGGATGCTAGCATGTAAATATTAAATGCTATTACATACTCGTACCTACAGCAGTGTTCTACTGGGTCTCCGACTCTAGATACAATTCCATCAAAACACAAACCTTGAAAAAAATTATTAGTTGCAATTTTAAGTCCTGATTTATCACGTGCACAACAGTGAAAGAAAACATCGTGAGGCAAACCTGCATGTCTGAGAAATAAGAAAAAAAGTATTTTGAAGACACGTGGAAGTTCGCCAACACGCATGGGGGCAGCGCGGCAGACTATTCCTTACCCTAAAGCCCTTCCAGAAATGAGAGTATGCCTGTTTCACGAAAAACTAAGCTTTTACTGCTGCTTACTACTGCTTAAGAAGTAGGGCCCCGTTCGCATGTGCATTAATTTCACATTAATTATGATTTACCTACCAATTACGAAAGAGGCCGCTACACATCCATAAAGGATTTTCATACATTGTCATTACCAGTATTGGCATATAGTAAAACAAATGAAAAAAGAGAAAAAAGGGCATTCAAATTAAAGAGTAAAGTATAGGTGTAGGGAGGGATGTAGACGCATAAATCAGTGAGCATCGAACATAAAGCTGTCCCCACTCAGCGCCGGCAACAATGCGCTCTTGTGCCCCGCTTGTCACTCGCAATGCATGTTTTCATTGTACCACACCCAAATTTATAACACCACGTCCATAAATATCACACCTTTATAGTAAGTATAAGCAGTTTTATACATTGCATATATTGCTTAAGCGGTCACTAATTTATTAACTACCGCTTAAAATACACTTAGATGTTATTAAATCCTAACTACAAAAAATTGTTATTTATGTAGAATACGAGTACATCAAAAAAGCTTATCATTACCCGTACATTATACAGAACGCGAGGAGCAATCCGGGTTCACCAGCACCAAGGAAATTGTGTTGTTAGAAGTGCGGATCTACCATGTGCTCTACGGTGAAGGAAACCTCGTGCATGTCTACGAAATAAATATAATAAAAACATGTTGTGAAGTTCACCAACATGCATTGGAGCGGCTAGGTGGAAGCCATTGCTCCATGAACCTTTTAGAAATGGGTAAAGGCCTATGCTTAGCGGTAGGAGCAATAAACGTTCTTGCCGTGCAGCAGTGGTGTAAGATTGACCCTATATAGCCCCGTAGGTGTCTTAAGTGGTGATAGAGGAAAACGATTTAGGACATGGGCAGCAGCATCTTTCCGATACAAATTAAATTAATAAATTACTGCGGTTAGTATTCCGCCTTTACAGTGATCAACTATTCTCCCCTACGAGGTAATCTATGGAGGAGGCCACAGCTGATTTAATCCTATGTAAGGTGTTAGTTTTACTTTTTGCAGAGTTTCGCAATTTGTACATAAGGAACGCGGTCAAATCTTACTGGCTGCAATTAAAAAAAAAAGCAGCGTTTTGAGCCATAAGGTTAGAAGTTTAAATAAAAATAGTTTTCTAAGCATTTATTTTATTTATTTAAAAAGTTTACGTGTAACACCTTAAAGCTAAGTTCATAGTGCGGACTTAATTCCATGTGGCATTCTTTGCCAGTCAACCCTACGAGCGAAAAACAATAGTTGGCAAGTGCGAAACATATTACTTATATGAAATTCACATATATGTATATATATTATTTATTTTTTACGTGGTAGAGCCACGCTACAGCTATATTGTGGTTGCAGCACGCATGGGTCGGCTCGACCGGAGAAGGACCACGCTCTCACAGAATACCAGCGTAAAATAGCAGCTTAATGCTACTGTGTTTCATATGATGAGTGTAGAAAACCGGAGACTCTTTTTACTTTAAACGAGGCAATCCAACTCAGCCTCAGGTCTGGCAATGCACCTGCAATTTGATTTTTAATTGAAGATAAATGTAGATGTCTATGGGCCACAGCATCCACTTAACATCAGGTGGACTGTGTGCTCGTTTGTCACTCTATTCAATAAAAAATACCCGTATTTGATATTATTATTGCTGTGTCTATCGCTACGACAAATAAATAGGTACACAAAGGTAGGAAAGACTAAAGAAAGTCATATTAACTATTAACAGACCTCGCTACAATCAACCCTTTTAAATCGCTTTTTATTTTTATCTCTTTTTTTAGTCGAGGACTTTTCAAAAGTTTTTATTTAATCTTGTTTGTATTACAGCTTTTATATCCGTTATGGTATTCTTCCAAAAATTTTTAATTTTGCTTTTTATTATTATTG